TAGAGAACTGGATATATATGTATATGCAAATGTTCTTGAAAGATTACATCCCCTCACATTAAAGAAAATGATAAACTAGTAATTCGAATAACACAAAAATAAAAAAAGCAATAATAATTTAAAAAATACTAAATAGTAATGTGGTAAAATGAAATGTTGAATTATGAATTGAATGAACTGTCCCAGACAAAGTAAAGTACATTTCCCATGAACAGTGAACCAACACTTAACATTACAGAATACAGTATAACCCGATTATATATATATATATATATATATATATATATATATATATATATATATATATATATATATATATATATATATATATATATATATATATATATATATATATATATATATATATATATACATACATATATAATTTTTTATTTATTTTTTTTTTTTACGATTTTTTTTTTTTACAAATGTAACTAACTTAAAATCTTTCAGTGATGTTTTAAATTATGTATTTTTTAATGTATTTCTATACCTATCCTTGTAATGTTAAGTTTGTCCTTCAACCTTTTACATGCTTACATTTTTTTGTGTGTGCTGAAAAAATAGACAAACAAGATAAACTAAACAGTTTTTCCCTCGATAATCAAGCATATTCACTTTATTGTTGTTTTTACATTTGACCAGCAGAGGGCGGCATTTAGTCGAGAAAAACAACCATGCTTTCAATTTAAATCGGTGACTGAGAGAAGAAGACAAAATAATTGGCATAGACTTTTTATATTTTGGGAAAAGCTTGTGTAAATTCTTTTTTTTTTTTTTTCAATTTTAGACACCAACTTAGATACTACATTGTAAAATTACAAGGATTTAACATTCATTAAACAATCTTTGTGAAATATTCACAGTATGTAACTATAATAGATATATATAGATAGATATATAGTTAGATAGAAAAAAAAAATATATATATATATATTTATATATATATAAATAATTTTTTTATAAAATGCATCAAAAGATTAATTTAATTTGATTTCATTGAATTTGAAAAAAACAAATAAAAACACATAAAAAGGTCTAAGCCAGGACTCTGCATCCTGCAGCGCTGGAGCTGCATTTGGCTTTTAATGCCCTATTGATATAAAGAACTAGCTAACATGATAACAAATACTACTTTTAGAAGATTTTGTGTTTTTTATAATGGACATTTGAATTATTATTTAATTTTTTTTTTTACAACAGAATGGCATTAAAATGACAAGAAATGTAATTTTAGAGCATTTAGAGCTAATTGTTTTTTTGTTTTTTGCTTGGCAATTGTGCATTTTTTTATAAAATCTTTTTTTTAATTAAAATGTCATGTAATGTTTTACTGCTCTAAACAACTTTTAACTCTGGACTCAAGGCAAAATGGCTCTTTGGATTTAAAAGGTGTCAGACCCCTGGTCTAAGTAGCTATGGGCCCAGAGTAATCAGTTATTTGTAATTTGCAGAAATATAGTTTCTCTACAGTTTGCTCTGGGTCTAAAAATATTTCTAATTATATAGCAAATAACTGAACCAACCTGTAACTAGGATTGTTTTTTTTAAAGTGTGAATATTATTTTAACAAGTGACCATTTGCTCCGAAGTTGCAGATACACTGATAATGATGCTTCTAGAGAGACCAGATGGCTTATTAAAGATTTTCTTGACACAAACAAACTATGACACTGATTCTACTTTCGAACGGAATATAATGTTTTGCTTCATGAAGGAAGAAGGCCATTTTATTTCTAAATCAACGTTCTTTCTTGTTGACTGAAAACAAATTATTACACAGCCTGCAAATTCCAGAGCTTTTTATATAATTTTACTGTTATTATTTTTCTCCCTCATGCAAAACTGATCTGCTTTCAAAATGATTCCTTTCTTATTTTTCCATTACCTGTTATCTCCATCTGCATCTGAACAAGGCTTCAGCCATGGTCTGTTTTGTATTTGAGCTCATAATTAAGTTAAGCATATTCTAGATGATGTCTCTGCACTGTTTTGGCAAATGTTTATTTAAAAAAGGCGAAAAAAATCCATGCTTTAAAACAAAATGAGACTCCTAGCATTACTGCAATTAATATATTCATTTTCTCTCTGTGTATTTCAATATTAACCTCCTTGCAGTGTGTTTTGTTCAGGCTGGAGTTAATGTGAGCCTGTTCATGTCTCTGATAAGGTGGGCGGATCCTGATGGGGCTGCAGCCAGTGGCTGGAAGCTCTGGGAGGAGTCAGGAACCGTTGCCAGAGAAAATATCCAAATAACAGATCCACTAGTCCTCGTGCTGCAGGGAGGTGTCATGGCACGTCTATTGCTGGCCTGCTGCTTCCTGTCTGAACTCTGTGCAGTAAAACCCTCCTCATCATCAGTCTGGTGTTTTTGCTGGAGAGCAGGTTGAGAGAGTGCAGCTCAGCTGGTAAAACGGTTCCCCTCCTGAAAGCCATTTGGAGATGGAAGGGTGAGATATGCAAAAAGAGCTCCTCCATAAGGACAATGGTGGCAGTCAGGTTGCATGGTGGTGCAATTTGTAGCACTGTTGCCTTAAAGCAAGAAGGTCATGGGGATCTGTCTGCATGGAGTTTTCTCCCAGCAGCATTAAAATTCTACTAAAATGTGATAATAAAAGAGCCTTCATGAAAATAAACAAGCAATGCACATAACCAGAGTTAGTGAAGGGAATACGTGTCTGAGAGTAGATGGCACCTCTGACACCTTTACACAGTGGTGATTCTAGAACAAATTTATCAGAGGGGTTAGGGTGGGGCCAATGGTTTTCATAGGGGCACAGCACAAAAGAATAACAAACACACAGGGGAACAGTGCATCATTTAGTATATCACTTGAGCCGTAAAGCCAAGGTTGCAGACCCCTGATCTGACAGATGCAAACTGTGACCCTTTCTTATAAGGCTGATGCTTAAAGCTGACTGTAATTTCAAGATAATTGTTACAGTAAATTGCAAAGTGGAACATTTTAATTGGTCTCTTCTGTCAGTGCATATCATAAGAAGAAATTGATTTAGTATCACACTGCACAAACAGATCAGAAAAATGAAAGATCTTTCAAAATGACTGTGGCTTCCCTTAATTTAGGTAAATAAAATGATCTGCGCTAAAATAAGATAATTATATATAATGCACTCCAAATATAATAATGGGGTTATTTCTTTCCTATTTTAAATGGAAATCATCTAATTCCATCTGCTGATTGTCTCACATTTCTACTTAAATCAAGGAAAATACACTTTTTCACAAAAAAAAAAATACACAAGATTTAATTATTTATGTCTACATTTTACAGTCTGTGATTTCAGTACAGGTGCCAGGGCCAGTTCTACAGAGGCCCCTGTTGGCCCCTGTCTAGAACCACTCATGCTTTAAATGGAATATATGAAACATAAAAAACTGCACAGAATTAGGAGAAAAGGATAATTAAAAAGGATGTAAATTATTGTTATGATCCAACAACAGCCTATAACGGTGAAGTCCGAGAGCCTTAGTGGCTGAGAGGGTTCCATGTTCTTTAACTGATGGTGAGGTGACTGATTTCATTTATTGTTGGTCTTGAGACTCAGATACAAAGGTATAACCAGAAAACCCTAATAACAGTCATGGTTTGTTTGTGCAATCTCTGTGAAAGAATAATCCATATTCAACTATGTAAAATGTAATAAAATGCATTTAAACATTAAAGTTATAGCATTATCTAATAATATTCAGTACATTCACAGTTTTTTTAGCTTTTATTTTGTTAAATAGAAACAGAAAGTGTCACCCTGGTGTAATAGCGGATGCCTTCCTTCGCTGCGCCTGTGGATACAGGATAATGTTATAGCATTAAAGTTATAACATTATCTCATAACATTCAGTTCATTCATGTTTTTTTATTTGAGTTTTTATTTTGTTAAATAGAAACAGGAAGTGGCACCAAGCTGTAATGGTGGACGCTTTCCTTCGCTGCTCCAGTTGAAATGGGATAATGTTATACCATTAAATTTATAACATTAAAATTATAACATTATCTCATAATATTCAGTTCGTTCATTGTTTTTTTTTTTTGATGGTTTGTTATTTGAGCTTTTATTTTGTTAAATAGAAACAGAAAGTGGCACCCGGCAGTAATGGTGGACGCTTTCCTTCGCTGCTCCAGTGGAAACGGGATAATGTTATAACATTAAATTTATATTATCTGATAATATTCAGTTTATTCATTGTTTTTTTTCTTTTTTATTTGAGCTTTTATTTTGTTAAATAGAAACAGGAAATGGCACCCGGCAGTAATGACAGATGCTTTCCTTCGCTGCTCTAGTTGAAACGGGATAATGTTATAATATTAAATTTATATTATCTGATAATATTGAGTTCATTCATTGTTTTTTTAGGTTTGTTATTTGAGCTTTTATTTTGTTAAATAGAAACAGGAAATGGCACCCGGCAGTAATGACAGATGCTTTCCTTCGCTGCTCTAGTTGAAACGGGATAATGTTGTAACATTAAATTTATAACATTTAAGTTATAACATTATCTCATAATATTCAGTTCATTCATTGTTTTTTTTTTTTTTTTTTTTTTGATGGTTTGTCATTTGAGCTTTTATTTTGTTAAATAGAAACAGTAAGTGGCACCCGGCAGTAATGGCGGACGCTTTCCTTGCTGCTCCAGTGGAAACAGGATAATGTTATAACATTAAAATTATAACATTATCTCATAATATTCAGTTCATTCATTGTTTTGTTTTTTTGTTATTTGAGCTTTTATTTTGTTAAATAGAAACGGTAAGTGGCACCCGGCAGTAAATGGAGGACGCTTTCCTTCGCTGCTCCAGTGGAAACCGGATAATGTTATAACATTACATTTATAACATTAAAGTTATAACATTATCTCACAATATTCAGTTCATTCATTGTTTTTTTTGGTTTGTTATTTGAGCTTTTATTTTGTTAAATAGAAACAGGAAGTGGCTTTCCGCTGTAATGGCGGACGCTTTCCTTCGCTGCGGGTCGCGGTTCTGCTGTCATTGACTGAAAGGCAGAAAAGTGCTCCAGTGGAAACGGGACGGGGAGTCCTCCACAGCAGCATGGACGGCTGCCCGCCATAGCTCATAGTTCACGCACCGTGGGCTGTTAGTGGGTGGAGAGTTTTATTTCATCCTTCGAACTACGTTTTTTTCTTTCTTCTACTGTTTTTTTTTTCATGTTACAACCCGCAATGGATCGAGTCAAAAGCTCCATGCAGCAAGTCCCGAACGCCATCCCCAAAGTGATCCGAAGGACCGGAGGGGCCAACAGCCTGGAGCTGGAGAGGGAAAACTTTGAGAGAGGCCAGGTAGGAAGGAGCTCAGACACACACGGAGAGTGGGATGGTTGTGGTCGCGGAGATGAACGCGTGGGAAGCGTGGATGGACTCATGGAGGAGGTCCCATCCAGGAGCCGCTTTCTGTATGTTGTTACCGGAAGGAGGGCTGATAGATCCAGCCATGTCAGCTCCCCCTCTGCATACTGTCTGGGTTTGAGTCCTCATTTCTCTCCTGCTGCGTGTTTCTGTCTGTCTGCGTGGGTTAAAGCACACCCAAATGGAAGCACTGTACAACAAAGGAGCTGCTGAAATGTGGGTCACTGGCCTTTTCAATGCAGATAACGGTGCTTTGGAGCTTATCTGCTGTGTTGGAGCAGCATGGAGCTGGATCATCTCTGATAGGCCTAGAAATCACTGCAGGACCTCTGATCTTCCTGCTCCTATGAAAACTAATTTCATTTAATCTACTTTGAGCAGCTCCTCCAGGTGCCCTGCTATGCTGGAGGAGATTATTCATGTTCCTGCTTTAATTTTTCTAAGGTTCATATTTGTTTGACCAATTTTTTCTGTAATAATTTTGCTGCTGGAAACACCTGAATCTCCCTATTGTGGGACGATAAGGAGACTTTCTATTCTATTCTAATTTAAAGAGTCAGATCCTCCAATGATGTTTTTCTTTCTGCAAAAAAAGAGAAAATAGTCTTCAAATGATTTAATTCAATAAGAAAAATATATTTAAAAAAATCCAAGCTGACCTAATTATATCTGAAAAAGCTCTTGTGTCCTAAACCTAATTACTGGGTTTGCTTTGCTTTGCAGCATCAGCTGCCATCAGATGTTTTCTGTTGGTTTTTTTTGTTCAGGGGTTGTTTTTATCACCCACCCCGGAGGGATTTATCTCCTGGTGAAATCAGGACTTTGACTAGGCCGCTGTAAAGCCTGTTCTTTCTATTGCGGCTTTGGAGGCAGACTCCATGGTGTGTTTTGAGTCATTTTCCTGCAGCGTAGCTCAAACTTTTCCTTGAAATTCCCTTGACGTCTTAGAGGAAGCTGTCCAGGTCCTAGTAAAACATTTTACTGTCAATGCTGCATTGGCCTTGGTTTCCCATACAGCTCTGCTTTTCACTCATTGGTCAACAGAAGATTTCTCTTGGTAAACTACTGACGCCTTATCTGCTCCTATTTCTCTCTTTTTGTGCTTCTGTTTTTTTTTTTCATCTGACCTTGTTGATGCCCTCTAGGAGTAATTTGGGTTTTTTGTTTGCTAAACATTATAACATAAGTTTACTTGCGTAGCACAATTCAGTACAAGGACAATTTAAAGTGCTTTGCATGAATTAGACAATAAAATTGAAGAAAAATAAAAACTTAATAAATGCAAATAAAGATGAAAACATGATAAAAGCAGATAGTGAAAGAAATAAAACAGCTGGACCACAACTTTGTCCAACTTATAATACTATACACACACACACACACACACACACACACACACATATATATATATATATACACTAATGATAAGAAATGTATTTCATATGTAGACGCACTGTAGATACTGCATATATCGATGCACCTTTTTCTTCCTTTGGCACATTATCTTCTTTGACTATTTGGGCTTATGTAACGAGTAAATGTCTCCACTGTGAGATCAATAAAGTCGATCAATACCTCTTTAAAAGATTAATTTTAATAGTTAAAGGCTGTTCTAAACAGAGTTTTAAACTTTGACTTAAAGTATTTCAGGCTTTCAGCACTTTTACAGTCTTGGAGGTTGTTCCAGATAAAAGCTGCCTCTCCATGTTTGGTTCTAGTTCTGGTTGGACAGAGTAGACTGGAACTAGAAGACCCCAGTAGTTATGTACTGATGTGCTAATTCATTCAGTGATTTATAGACTAACAGAAGGATTTTAAAGTATTTTCTGTAAGCTACAGATAGACAATGGAAGGACTTCAGAGCTGGGCTACATGTACAATCAGAGCATGAAAAGTGCACAAAACAAACTGCTTTTCAAATTATCAACTTTTTATTGAATGGGCTATTTGAGTAGTCTATGTTATTTAAATACAGATGTTTGTTATTTTAGTTGTTGAATATGTACTTTTGTTTTTAAAGTACTTAGTTTGTGTCCATGTCCTCCTCTTCCTCTCTCCATACCAGGCACATTGGTCAGGGAGAAAGTAGGTCAGAGGAATCCATGCAGCCCAACTGAAACGGCTCTGCTTCTCCTATCCAGCCCCACTCAGAGCTCCCTCACTGTGCCTCAGCAGGTGTTTTCCTTGGTATCTGCAGATCCGTCTGATTGCTAATTGATTTGCAACGCCAGCTCTGCACCTAAAACTTCGGTCGCTCGTGTCTGTAGCCAGTGGGGTGGAAGCTGCATGGATTAGTGGTGAGGAGGGAGAGCAGAATTGGCTTTAAGTGTCCTGAGCCCAGCCTGTGTCAGTAGGTCACTTGCCAAGCTCCTGAAATCACACCACGAAAAAGCGTGATGAGCTCATCAACTTTTACTGATCAGGTTGAACACATTCCGGTTGGACGACAGAACCTGATGATTATTTCTCACAGTTGATCAGTTTTGTTTATTTACTGTTAAAGTTTTCGGGCCTCTTCACTGTACCTTCAACAGTCAAGATTTCTATACTGTCCCTTTAAATGGAGACACTGTCCCCTTCCTTGTCGCTCGTGGATAATGTATAACTGAGGATCTGCAGCGGCGCTAGCAGGTAGAGGAATCAATGAATCTGCGGTCTGCTCTACCGTGGATCAGTGAGAGATAATCTCATGTGATCTGTCGTGCTCTAAAGCTGCCTAAATCTGCTAGGTGGCTGGCTTTCACCTACAATACAAGATATACCCTTCAACTGTTTGACATTTTCTCTCCCATTACAACATTTAACCTAATGTATTATGATTTTACTTTATGTTCTACACCTACTTGAAGAAAAGCATAACTGTTATTAAAGGAACTAAATCTATTTTTCAAGGCTTTAATCTGACATCCTGTCGTCCGAAAGTCACCTAATCGTATCGGTCCAGCTGTTCTGTAAAGGCCTGAGAGGTTCGCAAGAGAGCGTTAGAAAGCAAGGAGCTTCATAAAAAGTATTTAGGAACTGTCACAAAGCACGGTTTAATGTAGGGGCGCACAGATTTATCAGCCAGCCAATCGATTGGCCCCGATTTCCTTTATCTTTGATGATCGGACGATACTTTCATGTTATCTACCATCGCTCTAAGTAGGGCTGAAACACTCAGTCGGATTAATGGTGATTAAATGATTATTGGAATGATCATCCACTAATTAATTAATCATTAACTGGAGTGTAGAGACTCTTAAAAACATTCCTTTAGCTGACAGAGCAACCTACTCAGAGCATTAATTACACCAAGAGTGTTAAAATAAAAAAATTGTAAAATTGCATTTAAGATCAAAATCTTTTTCGTATGTCACTATGCTCTATTCAGAGCTCCTAAAGTGGAAAAGTTTTAGTTTCACCTGGTTTAATTTTGGAAAAAGTCTTCTTTCAGAAACTTTCTGATTATTAATTGAAAAATAATCAACAGATGAATCAATTTGCTAAATAATTGTTAGTTGCAGCCCTAACTCTAAGCTTTTCTTGCACAAAAATGGGAAGTTTGAAGGTTTATTGTGACCTGAGAACACCTGAGAGTGTTGGTTATAAAAAAAAAAAAACGGCAAACAAATAAACAGTATTGGTCAAAATTGAAATCTGTGATCGGCCATAAATCGGTGCACCCCTTATTCAATGGCACAAACTAGCAAAAACATGGGTTTCCACAAGGAATGGGCATTTTATCTAGCCATGATAAAATATAGTGTAAACAATAAACTAGAATTTATGATGATGACTCAAATGTTTGAATCGTTAATTGTATTTTTAATATTTTTCCCTTTTTTTTTTTTTTTTTACATGGGGCAAATTTGAAGAACATGATACATTTCAGTCACTATGGGATGTTTTATGGTAGAAATCACACCCCCTAAAGAGGAGCACCGTTTTTTTTAACATTGGACCCTTGATTTTACGTTATTACATCATGTTCTAATCACGCATATGAGTTTTTTGTCGTTTGGAGCCGTTCTGAAGATATTCCGTTAGGTTATCCAGGTAACATCTTCCTATGGGCAACGAGTTGAAGGCACAAACTAAACTGTTCATAATTTATTCTTTATGGTACGCCAGCATTCATAACATGTAGGCAAATCCCTGTCACCCAGACATCCACGGTTATGTTTTTTATATTTATATTTTTTTAAACAAAGCGGAGTGTGTATGACGTCATCCGCGCGCTGGATTGGAGTCGTAACAGAAGGCCCGGGCCACAGGCGGCTACGCTCTACCCCTTCTATTCATTCAGCTAGCTAATCTAAATCGTTCAATTCCATTTGGAGAGCGAGATCATCTGTGGTAGTAGCAGTAGACACCTTCCAGGCATGTGAGTAAAACTAGCAGCAGTTCAGAGGACAGGATGAATGAACGTTAGCCGGCGCATGTGGGTGACAACAGCACTCTGCCTTATAACACAAACCACCTCTTTTAGAAATGTCATAGCCTGAGGTGAATAACTTCATTCAGTTTAACCGTAGACCAAAAAATGATTGGTAAATAAAACCACCAGTAGCTAAACAATTACATAAAATGGACCCAGTTTCTTACCTGACTGCTCTAAGTGCGTTGCTCTTTCAGCTAAAGACATGTTTCACAGTCTCTACACTCCAGTTAACGATTAACTGGTTACTAAATTGGTTGATTATTTCAATTATTGATTAATCCGATTAATTGTTTCAGGCCTAATCCGTATACTTTCCTTTTGTTTGTCTGGAAGCCATGATGATTATGGTTGCCTAGCGCACTGCTTGCCTACCAAGATGGCCCCTATAACTGCTTCCGTTTTCCAGGTGTGAGAACTATGTATTCCAAGAAACATGCTGTGTAAATTCTAAGTTGTCTGCCCTCCGATTTAAGCCGGGTTTGTTTTATTCCAAGAAGCCTGTCAATCGTCCATA